AACTCTCACCCCCCCCCCCCACATACACACCTAAGAGTCTGGCCCACTCACCACCTGCCAGCCGGGTCCTGGCCTCGGTGCAGCCATGCGGGGTGAGCACCCCGGTCGAGGCCAGTAGTGCCGCGCCCACCTGCTATGGCCATCCAGACTCCAGACACTGCAATGCCACCTGCTCAAGGCCCACCACAGACCAGGCAGCCTCCCCTCACCTCCATGCCCTGGTCATGCGCCCACCCACAGACCAGTCACCAGGGACTAACAGGTGGCCCGTTTACAGGGCACACACCACATGGTTAGACCCAGTCTAGAAGCCCAGCACAGCCATCCGACGTCACCGAGGGCAGCAGGGAGCCTGACAGCTCGTGACAACTGGCAGAGACCTCCCGGTAGGCGAGCGTGCGCACATCCCCACAGTCCCAGGGCTTACTCGTACTGTCCTGTGCTCTCTGCTACCTAAGTTAGCCAGGAGCCTGCATTTCCTCTAGCCCTCGCTTGCTGCAGTCAAGGTCCAGGAGGCCAGACATGTCTGCCGAGAGGACAGGGCAGACAGCCAGGAAGCTCAAGTGCTGAGAGTCTAAGGGTCAGACACGCGTGGAGAAGGCTCTCCCAGTTCCTGCAGCATCCTTGCCAGGGAGGACAAGGAAGCTATACAGCAGCACGTGTCCCGGGAAAGCTGTTCCCGTGTGGACAGGGAGCTACGTGTCCCGGGTAAGTTATCCCTGCGTGAACAGGTGGTACGTGTCCCAGGTGAGCTGTCCCTGCGTAAACAGGTGGTACGTGTCCCAGGTGAGCTGTCCCTGCGTTGACAGGCAGGTGCGTGTCCCGGGTAAGCTGTCCCTGCGTGGACAGGCAGGTGTGTGTCCCGGGTAAGCTGTCCCTGCGTGGACAGGCAGGTGCGTGTCCCGGGTAAGCTGTCCCTGCGTGGACAGGGCCCCGGTGAGCTGTCCCTGCGTGGACAGGGAGGTGCGTGTCCCGGGTAAGCTGTCCCTGCGTGGACAGGCAGGTGCGTGTCCCGGGTAAGCTGTCCCTGCGTGGACAGGCAGGTGCGTGTCCCGGGTAAGCAGTCCCTGTGTGGACAGGCAGGTGCGTGTCCTGGGTAAGCTGTCCCTGCGTGGACAGGTGGAGCATGTCCCGGACAAGCTGTCCGTGCGTGGACGGGCAGGTGTAGGCTGGGGCTGGAGGACGGTGCAGGATGGCCAGGCAGTGGACCAGCTACCCTCCACTCAGGGGAGCTGTTTCCGCCCTGAGGCAGAAACCAGCTGGGTAAGGCAGGGGCGCACCAGGGTGGAGAATTCGGGGCAGCCACGGTCTTTCTACAGGAGGCACAGCCGGCAGAAGTCAGTGCCGGCGTTACAGAGTGCAAAGTGAGAGTAAACGGGGGCGGGACCTCGAGACGGCTGGCCACTTTCAGTAATAACAGACTCTCCTCGTGGAATGTGGATATACATTTAGGCCTTATGTTTAGTTGCTAACAGCTCTTTGGTACAAGCAGGATCAATCAAGAAAAAGAAAAAATATTTAATTTGGAGGAACTTATAGACACAATTAATATTTTTACTATTTTTCAAGTGATTGGGAGTTTCTTTTCAATATCTATCAAACTCTGAAGTAGACTACAGCCATGGAAACCTGAAAGGAATGCACAAGAGTTGCCCTCTTCCTTGCGTCAATAACCTCATTCCGTTCCCTCCGCCGAGGGGGGAGCTGAGCCAGGAGACGGCTCGTCGGTCCCCTGCCCCACGGCCTGCCCGTGGGGTCTGCACTACATGGCCCGCGGTCCAAGGCTTACGTTGTCAGTGAAGACCACGCCGAGTTTCCACATCTGGTACTTGACGTCGATGGCGTTCAGGCTGCAATGGCAGGAGGGACCAGTCAGTGTGCAGACGCACGGGGCCCGGGACGCGGGCTCGGGAGCCATGGCACCATTGCACGGCCGAGCCGGAAGCCCAGCTCTGTCCCGGCACCAGGGAGGCCTGAGGAGCTCACTTGGGCAGGGCCAGGGTGCTGACACCGTCCGAGAGGCGTCGGAAGACAAAGCCGCACACCACTCGCCTGTGTCAGGACAGCACTGCCGTTCTCACCACCATGTCAGCCTCCCTGACACATGGCACCATTTCCAGAGCCGTGCGAAGCTGACCCACGTGTGCCTCAGAGGTCTCCTGGGCCAGCCCCACCACTCGCGGTGGCACAGCAGTGACATGGTGCTCCACAGTGCCGGGGACCTAAGAGAAGGTCCCAGTGCACGCCCCAGGTCCCCCTGCGCACGCGGGAGCACGTGTTTGCCTGCCTGTGATTTGGACTGCCGGGTGGTGTCACGGCAAGGAGGCCCGGCCAGGGTCCTGTCCCCCCCGTCCCTGTCCCTGAGTGTTCCGTGGAAGGGATGGCAACAACCAAAGCATCCTCGCCTCACCAGTATTAATACTTGCATTCCACAAAATAATATTTTGGCCCAAATAATAAAAAAAAAACTAGCCTAAACATGCACCTTCATTTTTTTCTTTCTTTTTGAAAATTTTGATTTAAGGTTTTTGCCAAGGGCGCATGCACTCACTGGAGAGAGACAGAGAGTGGGAAAGTGAGAAATCACCCCCTGGGGGCACGGCCACACCACAGCCCCATCTCCTCCATGCTCTTCTCAGGATCTTAGGCACGCATGTACACACGCCTGGTGTGAGTTTCAAGCCCCCGGTCCGGAACTCAGACTGCAGTCAGCCACGTGGGAGCCCAAGCCTTAGTCATCATGCCGCCTGCCGGCCTCACGCACGTGTCAGTGGGGGACTAATTCCCTCTGACCTGTTCCCTCTCGTCCTCAGTCACCGGCTTCCTTTTCTGCCTGGCAGGACCTTCACTCTTCCTCGGCCCCTGCAGCACTCGGCCACGTGGGGGCTCGTGTTCAGCCGAGGACTGACCTGGCTGTGCTCACACGCCCCATCCACCCCGATCCATGGCTCCGAGTTCTCTCTCAGACAGAGACCGGCCTGCCAGGCCTTCCTGGTGGCGAGAGTGAGGGGCTAGGACAGGGTAATTCCACGTGTGCGCCAGTGCACCGTGTACACACACACACGCTTCCTCGATTGGCTGAGACCATAAACACAGGTGTGGAAGGCTGAGCATGACGCTGCGCTGTTCAGGCCAAGGGTAAGAGGCCGCAGTAGGACGTCACGAATTTTAATGCATCGCGTCTCTGCTTTCTGCAGATTGAGGTGGCTGCGCTTGCTGACACGGTGCCCGGACATGCACATACGTCCACAGAACACGCACACATGTGCGACATCCCGCTCCAGGCCAGTCGGGCTCGTGTCCCTCCTTCCAAGTCCATGGCACAGTCCGTGAGGTGCTCACAGAGGCGTTCCTGGAACACTGAGTATCTGTCATCTTTTTATTTTTATTTTTTTTGGAGAGGCTTTCGCTATAGGGCGTGTGCGCTCACCAGACAGACAGAGACAGAGAGACAGAAAGCAAGAAATCACCCCCCGGGGGGCATGGTCATGCCGCAATCCCTTCTCCTCCATTCTCCTCTCGGGACCTTGGGCACGCATGCTAAGCCACCGGGTCCGGGACACGAACCACGGTCGACTACGTGGGAGTCCAGCGACATAGCCATTACACTAACTGCTGGTTCCCAGTGTCTGTTATCTTTAAAACACAACAGCCATTGTCAGAGGAAGGGACTGCGAACACTTTCTAGAAAGGCCACCTGGTTCCCTTTCTCAAAATAGGAAACATTATCTCCTTTTCAAACAGAAAGCATCAGGAGCCCGGCGCGCCCCACGTGGGCTGTGCCTCGCTCGGCCTCAGTGTCGTGGAAAAGGCCGAGGAAGCCCAGAGCCTGGCCGTCCTCCCTTCCCTCTTGCTCTGTGCACGTAAACAAAGGCGCTTTCCAAAGACAGACCCCACCCTGCACCACACCAGGTGCCTGCGGTGTGCTGGGCAGCTGCACCGTCTCTGCCCTGCGCCCACACTCCCGCACTGTCCCAGACACTCACACAGCCGCCAGGGAGCTGTCCTTCTTGGGCTTCTTCTTCTCTCGGGCATCACTGAAGTCCAGGGCCGCCTTGTCCATGCCCAGCAGCTCGCTGATCCTGTCGCGGCCGTAAAACTCCCCGTACTTGTCCATCACCTGCCGGGAGAGCAGCGAGTGGCGCATGGCACGGACACGGCATATGTGCACATGCATCTCCTCCCTCCTCCCAGCGAGCTCTGTAAAGTCTGGCTTGCATCTACTTTCTGGGCCGCACTGCCACACACAACACGTCGGCGGCCTTTCAGACCAGACCTATCTGACGGACAGATTTCTCAGGGAGGGAACCACGGGGACGAGGGCAGAAGGAACAGGGAGGAGACAGAATGAGCGTGACCTTTCCCGGAGTCAGTGTGAGGCCTTCAGAAAGCTCAGAGTCATGTGTGGGTCTCGAAACCGCGCTCCCTGGAATGGACTCTCCTACTCTGCTCTCCCATGGCTGTGTTGAAGCACCCTCCGTCCTTGCACCAGGAGCTATGCTGTAGCCCACATGGCTGTCGCAGGCCAGCCGTGACACCAGCCGCCCACGCCAGCCTGCCCGAGCCCCTCCAGACACACAGGACCTGCAGGCCTCCAGCCAGAGGCCAGGACACGCCAACTGTGTGTAGAACGTTCAGCTCTGACCACAGCCCTCCTGTTCCACCTCCTTCCATGTCCTGACTGCAGTGAAGCCTCAGTAACCCCCGTGGCCACCGCCTCTAGTCCAGGTCAGCCCTTGGCAGTCATCAGCACCTTCTCTTACACAGACAGGACACCCTGGACACTTCCCTACTGCCCCATCAGGAAGCAGCTTTCTAGAAAGGCCACCTGGTTGAGTAGCCAATTAGGCTACTCAAACTACTGCAAAAAATTCTAACCCGCTTTTAACGTGTGGACAGGGCAGTGTGCGGCTGCCTGTGGGAGCCACGCCTGTGTTCTCAGAGCCAGAGCACCGGGCAGAGCAGGCCTCCCAGGGCAGTCCAGCTGACCAAGCACATTCTAGTCTGGGTTGCACTTCAGGAAAGAGAGAAAATGCATCCCCTCTACGAAGGATTACCTTTCTTTTAACAAATTTGTCCCAGTAGTTGTTAGGAAATGACCTAAAAAGTACAAGAGCATAAAAGTGAAATAGTATTAATTTTTGAAACGATAAGTAATGGCACATCATGGGGTAACACAAGCCCTTCACATATGAGCGTAAACCCCACCGTCCACGTGCCAGGGACTGTCACCCTCTTACTCTGCGTTCTCCCACACCGCAGGCACGCTGAGTATTACGCAAATACCCACATCTCGGCTCGCACACGTGACCCACCGAGCCCCCCGCCCGCCAGTCCGGGGGGCAGAATGCGGCATGTCTGCAAGGACACCACGGCTGCCCTAGGTGCCATCCGGCGGGGACGGCAACATGTCGGCTCGCCAACCGTGTTTAAAATGAAGTGTTGTCCTTCTCGTTCCCAGCAGCTGCCTCGGGGCCCCGCACGCAGCAGAGACCAGCAGCAGGGCTGACTCAGGCGCCGACCCTCAGCACAGTCTTCCCGGGATGCAAGGCCAGGTGTTCCAAAGGTAGCCTTCCCACTGGGAACCCAGAGTCTGCTGGGGATGGGGACCTTCTAAGGATGAGTAATGCTCATCCTAATAAAAGCCACCATGCTGTCACACCACAGACTCTCCCTGTGCCCCAGGGGGTGGCACTGTGGGGCCTGGGGTGGGTCTGCACCTGCAACAGCCAGCTCCAGTGGCCCTGACCCTGGCCCTGACCCTGACCCTGGCCCTGACCCTGACCCTAGCCCC